CATAGTCGATAATCCCCTCAATGGTGACCTGCGGACGTGATATGAGCATCGATGGGTGATCCACATTGAACAGTTGATATGTTTAATATATATAGAGCTAAGTAAAAAAGTCTCCCGGTCAATCAACAAAATTGAAGGGAAAAAAATAATAATGAGAGAAATGGAAATAAACAATAATAAAGAAAAATTATAATGAGCGAACTGATATAAATGAAAATAATAAAAACAGTATAAATCAGCTAATGGTATTCGTTCATCGAATTCTATCACAGATTAAATTCTGCATGGGGAGTAATGTGGCATAACTACCACTATAAATATTAAATACCAAATCACTAGTATTAAAGACATGTTAACTTGATTCTATGTCCAGTTTAAGAAGAAAGTGGGTGAAGCCTTTAGGCCCCTCCCCCTGTACCTCATCGTTATGCCAATGCTAGCCAATCACGAGATGATCTACCATATTGAGAGCATCAAGCAGATCCCGATCAGCATAGAGAAATACCACGGCGGCCGGCGGCCGCTGCAGTGTTTTCGATGTCAGAGTTTCGGCCACACCCAACGTTCCTGCTCCTCCAGCCCAAGATGCATGAAATGTGCCGAAGGGCACTATTCATTCCAGTGCAGAAAGAGCCGAGACTCCCCAGCTAAATGCTGCAACTGCATGCAAAACCACACCTCAAATTTCACTGGGTGCGAGGCCCGTCCCAGTCGAAAGAGAAAAACGACCAAGGACACGACTACTTCTACAGCCCACAGACTTGTTAGCCTCATCAGTGAACTTAAAGACTTGCTGAAGGACCAAGACGTACTGCATCTTCTCACAACTTTAATCCAGGGGAATTCCCCATACAACTGATGTACTACTGAATCAACTCATGCCTCACCTCATCATGGACTTATTATCTGATCCTAACTTAGAACTNCCTGAATAATTTTTGAACTTATAATCGGATCTTCACGTTCAATGTCTCGATTTCAATGGTTCGAGGAGGGGGTGACCTCATCTATATGTTCTATTTGTTCGTCTTGTGAAGTGTATATCGCCTGCACTAATTAATATTAGTGCAGACGATATTCTAAGTTACGAAATCATGCACAAAACGCACTTTCTCTGAACAAACATACCTTTTTTTTCCCCCAACGGATTCGGATTTCTGACCTCCAAAATTTAGGGGGTAGATGCAATTTAAGAAATATGGTTCCCAAACTTTTGTCAGGAGTAGTGGTCCAAAATTTGGACTCCTCCTTCATGATAATTTCATTTTTTGCGTAATATCTCAAGAACTTTTATAAAATTCGTGTATCCAAAAATAATTCTAAGCAAATTATAACATTTAGTAAATATTTGTTATTTTTTATTATTTTACTTAATAACAGTTGAAAGAAGTATGGCATAGTCTTTTAACATCATTTTAAAGGATATAATTTTACATGGTTAAATATATAATTTGAACAAAATAGGTCGAATAGCTACTGCGAAATCAAATTTTAAAAATACGTTTTTTTTTAAATTCCATTTCTTAGAAACTATTCGACCGATTTTGCTCAAATTTTTAATTTTGTCATGCAAAATTACACCCTTAAAAATGATGTAATATGGATAAACGAATTTTATAATTGTTTGCAATTTTTTTTAATTCGCTTAAAAAGTTCTCGAGCAATACTCTCTACTGCCCAATCTATAGGGACCATATTTCACAGACTGCGGCTATCCCCTATATTTTGAGGGTCAGAAATCCGAATCTAACGAAGAAAATAAATGTTTATTCAGAGAAGGTAAGTTTTTGTGACTGATTCTGCAAATTAAAATATCGTCTGCGCTAATTAATTAGCATGTTTAAGGTCACCCCCTCAAACCATTTAAACTGAGTCCTAGAACGTGAAGATCCGATCATTAGATCAAAAGTTATTCTGTGTTGTCCGTTTTTTAATTTGCGCTTTGTACATGTTATGCATGTTATAAATAAAGGGACACAACACCTTATAAGATTTCAATTTTTCACTCAATATTTGTGTATTTAAATTTACAATTTTAGAAAAAATAGAGAGTGATTTTTTTGCGTCTGAATTCTAAAAGAAAAAAAAAATTCGCTATTTCAATCGATCTTTATTATTTCTTTGATTAAAACTGTTACCAAATTCATCCCTTACCTCATCCATTCATATATCATTCATCCATTCATATCCATCCATTTATATATATATATTATATATAATATATATTATCCTATTTAGGAGTTTATCTTCTTCTAAGCTTAAATATATGGCAGTGAAAAAAACCTGATTAACGGAATTAAATTTATTCTTTGTACGAAAGCTAAGTTCAAAGTCATGTATTCTTTGTTCAAACTAAATGTTCAAAAGCATTGCAACACATCCCCTTCCTGATTTAACAAAGGAGCTTTCAAACATGCATTGAAATCTATGACTTAAAAAGATTTAGAAGATTAGAATTCAAATTGAAAACTATTGTCCTTGTGATATGTCTTTAGCGAATGCTTATCCTGAGATAAATCATAATAAGGTGTACTAAAGATTAGTTCCAAATTTTACAATTAAAAAAATATTATTATTATTTTAAATACAGTTTATATCTTTTGTAAATTAAATGTAATATCTTTAAGTTAATCAGCATAGATGTTGGAATAAAATATATATTATATAATTATCAGGATAACAAAAGTAGGAAACAAAAATGGATTTTTTTTATATTACAAATAGTTATTGGTTTTAAAGAACTGTAAACATAACTCTCAACAAAAAATAATTCCAAAAAAATATTACATTTTTTATCCTATACAAATTTGTTAAGATAATTTGCTTGAATATATAAAATTGCCTTATCCAATCTCTAAAACGGTTATTATGCTTAAAATGATATAAAATCAATCATATTTCACTCCAAAATACAATTACACTTAAAAACAAATAAAAGGTTTGAAGGATATCTTACTTAAAAACAGGGTCTACAAATCTCAGTTGCCTCGGAGAATTAAACATGGCGCCTAATATTTTAAAAAAACCCAATTTTTCTTTTCTTTTTTGAATTAGAATGCGTAGATATTTTCGGGCTTCATGAAATTTAGTTCTATCCTTTAGAGATATCGAATATTTTGTAGACCCCTGTTCAAAAGAATAATCATTATCAGATCATATCCAGCCGGTTCCTTAATTAAGGTAATAAATCATACTAAACCATACAAACCATAAATCTTTATAACTAAAGAAGTTAAATAAATTTTTTTCAACTTTTCTTCTTTTTTTATCATTGAATATAAAAATAAACTAATAAAACAACAACCATGAAAAATTTACACCCATATCTATAGCTAAAGACGTTAAATAAAAGTTGTTTCTAAATTTTTAATTTTTATCATTGAATATAAAAATAAACTAATACAACAATAACGATAAAAGATTAGTTATTCAATAAAAAATTTTAAAAGTTGACAATTTGAAATCAAAGTTAAAACTAGTCAAATGTAAAATTCAAAAATCAGTTAATAAAATCAAAATATCCTGTTTTTTAAAAATACAAGTTAAATGATTTCTTTCTAATCAATAAATGTCAAAATTATTAAATCAATATTTTAGTTACACAGATAATAAGCCAACAAATAGTTGGCTGAAGTTGCAATTACATAACTTTATGTTGTTGCTCCGTATCCAATAAAATTCGTTATTAAACCGTTTTAAAGAGAAATGTCATACATTACAATAATTTCAATGTTATCTAATTGATTAAAATAATTTTTAACGTTCTTTCTTTTATATTTAATTAAAATCAAATATGCCTTTTAAAAACCAGCTGATAAAATTAATACAACTTGGTTACAAGTTAAATGGCAATTTTTTGATCAGTAAGTGTTAAATTACATAATTATGGTTTCGGTTGCACGGATTTTTCATTGGATGGAGTTGCAATCATGTTGCTTTTATATTGTTGCTTCATATCCAATAAAATTTGTAAGTTAACCATACGAGAGTGAAATGATATATCGCATTGATTTAGCTGTTATGTTATTGTAACATAAGAGTTAAATCAATCAATCGTTGTTAAACAGCCTATCCAATTTTGAGTTTACGACTACCGATGTTCAACTCCGTAGCCTTGTAATATTGAATCCAATCCTGAAAACAAAGGAACTCAAGTATTGGGAGAAATTTACCTTCGTGGAGAACTTTTTTAATGAACTAACTAACATTTGTGTTACATGGAGAGGAAAACCATGAAAGCCTGCCACGGTTGGTCAGACGGCAAGGGGAATCTAACCCATGATTTGAAACCACTGAGGATATTTTACGTCAGCACTCTGGTAGGTGCGAGCTGGGCGCGAAATTCGTATCGATCAGCCATAGCTGGATGACCTGAGCCATAACGGCTCCCTGTTATGTTGTTTTTTCATTTTGGTTTATTACTGATTTTGTGTCAAGGAGTCACAATAGGAGATAAAAGCACATACTTCCTTTTACAACTATTTCAGGGACCTCCCTAGCCGAGCGGTATCGCCCACCAAACGCTGTGCAAAGCTTGGAGGTAGCTTGTTCGAATCCCGCTGTTACCCTGAATGTATCTTCGTGCTGTCCTTCTAACTATATGCCCTTCTATTTGACAAAAGTTTATGAGCATAAAATGAGCACACAAGCCTACGTAATTCCAATAAACTAATAAATCAGCCAAACGCTGTGCAAAGCGTAGAGGTAGAGGGTTCGAATCCCGCCGTAACCCTGGATATGTTCTTCGTGATGTCTTTCTCTAAATTGTTCTGTCTGTCCTTCTGCTTAACAATTTATAAGCCTAAATTGAGCACACAAGCCTGCAAATATATGTAATTCCAATAAACCAATAAAATCCGCCAAGCGCTGTGCAAAGCATGGAGGCAGCGGGTTCACATCACACCATAACCCTGGATGTGTTCTTCGTGATGTCTTTTTCTGGATTGTTCAATCTGTTCTACTTGATAAAGGTTTATAAGCCTAAATTGAGCACACAAGCCTGCAAATGTATGTAATTTCAATAAGCCAATACGACTAATTTAATTCAACCAAGTCTAATTCGAGCTAAAACATACGCTTAAAAGTTTTAATTCATGGAAACTTGCATGAGTGTTTGAATAAATTATGGCATAAAGTATACTTTCAAAATTTTTACGAGGACATTTCAAGATTTTTTACGGCCTAAGAAAAGTAAGAAATTTCTTTCTATAACTAGGATTACTCATTATTTTAATGCTGTTAATTATAGATAGCAAATATACTCAAACAAAAAAAATTGTTTATTTCACTGTTCATAATATACATTTTAGATTAAATTGTAATTTCAGCAGCTTGTATATAAACTATACAGATTCATTTTTCATGTAGAAATCGAAGATAAGGGAAAAAGCCTAATTCTTAACATGACATTTTCCATCATTTCTATTAAAAATATCCCATTTAATTTTTTTTACATCTTGTACGAATTTTATAGTATATTTCTTGTAATCTTTTGATGATAATTTCTAGATTCAAATGTTAAAAGATTTTGAAGCATTGCATTATATCTTAAAAAAATATTCATTATTCAGATTCATAATTTATCGGTACGTATATTCTTCAAATTTTTTTCTCAACACTGGGAAGGAGAAAATGTACTCTCACATCTATGTATATACAATTTTATATTGTTCGACGGTAAAAATCTACATTTGCTTCTTGACTAAGCAAATACTAAATCATTGCAAACAGTAAAGGAACAATTGCTTTCTTTTTTATTGGATTTATGCTAACATAAGTTTTAATTTTGAATCTTTTGATGGTTTCCTATACAAAATATTTGGACTAATTTTGTTTCTGCAAGTATTGGCATTTCTAAAGAAAAAGACATATAAATACTTAAACTGAAAAACGCATACTTTAATAACTAGTTTAAACCATATAGATAAAAGAATAGTGTTATAAAACAGTTTGAAACACTCTTAAACATTTCGAAATGGGCCGCCTCTCGCTCTGGGGGGGGGAGGTTCAAAAACCGGAAATAAATGGGAGAAAGCTGGAAATTATTATAAAAGTTACAGTTTGAGTCCAATAAAGAAAACTGAAGTTTTCTCCCCTCCTCAAAATGAGCTTCAGCTGCTATCTTGAATAAACTGAGGGGTAGAGAGAGTCAAAAGAGGAAAAATTTGAAATTTACTAACTAGACAAGTGAGGTATTGTTTCTTATAAATTTTTTACATTGAATTGAATTACATAAAACAAAGTTGATAGGACTAATATTTTAAAAGTTAGGAGGAATATAGTACGTATAAAGTATAAAAAGTACATGTTTTGATTAATACCTATTGACGAGTCAGAAACTCTTATCCAGCCAATTGAGGCATATTTCCTTTTTTTCATACTCTAAATCGAATAGGACAAATAGATCAAGTTGCAAAAAATTTTATAAGTAAAAAAAGTACCCTTTTTTACTTATAGCTGTTGAAGCGTTTGATATTGCCATTATAGCGAAATATTTGATCTTGGATCCTATGTATTGCTTTACGCTAAATTGAATGAAACTATAACCAAGTTGATAAAACCAATAGTTTAGAAATTATGAGATTATCATGTATTAAAGTTGTAATTTTTATACCTTCCTTATAAATCATAAAACCTTCAATAGTTTTTAATTTATTGAATTTAATATAAGAAATGTGAAATAATGATCCTTTTGTTTAGATAGCGATGTCAGAAGCATAAATACGTACAATTACAAAAGTTTTTCTTTTTACTTGAAACTTTTCTCTTGAACTCTCATAGCTTCAATTTTTAATTCTATAGACTTGAATTGGATTTTATTCAGTTTAGTGTAATAAACACGCGATCCCATACTTCACTTGTCTATTTAACAATGTCAGATGCTCACGAAGGTGCTGGTACAAAGCTGTACTTTTTATACATACAATCCCTGGTCAAATTACTAGACTTACTATAAGATTCTATGTAAAATCTAAATTATCAGGTGATACTCTGCAACTTTATTGTTTTTACGCGACTGAAATCGGTTTACGTTCCTGTATCAATCGGTTAACATTGTAATGCATTACGTTAAAAATAAATACAAATAGGAAGTATATAAAAAATCTCCTGACTAAAAAATCCATTACATGTATATCCAAATATGTAAGTATTGCATGTAAACTAGTGCAAAATATATAATTATTAAAACACTGCAGTGTGTCTAATAATTTGGTCTAATTATTATAATATACTAATATGGTACCTGATATAATAAATATTCCATATTTATGTAATATATCGTCTAATTTATCCAATCGTCGAATTTGTTATATATTGTCTAACCAATTTATACGAAAACGCAAACAAGTACAAACCGGTTTCAGTCTCTTTGGAACGATAAAACTGTATAGTATCACCCGATAACTAAGATTTTAACTAGAATCGTATAGTGCTTCTAATAATTTGTATAAGGTGTAATAATTTTTAAACTATTAGTCCTATCAATTGTTTTTTGTTTTTTTTGTTTCATTCGATTCATATTTAAAAACTACATAAGAACTACATAGAGCCGTGATGGGTCAGGGGATAGAGCATTCCAATGAAGTGAACCGCGGTTCGATCCCGGCGATAGCTGGTCAATACGAATTCCGCATCCGGCTTGCACCGACCACAGTGCTGACGTGAAATATCCTCAGTGGTAAACGGATTATGGGTTAGAGCCCCTTTGCCGCAGGCTAACCGCGGGAGGTTCCCCTCTATGAGACGCAAATGCTGGTTATTTCTATCAAAAAGTCTTCCTCGAAGACAAATTTCTCCCAATACTTGAGCCAGGAGTCCCCTTGTCTTCTGGATTGGGTTCAAAATTACGAGGCTACGGAGTTGAACATTAGTTGTCGTAAACCCAAAAATTGAGTCGGCTATTCAACGACGGTTATAAAATAAAATAAGAACCACATAAGAAACTACATTAATACTTGTCTAGATAAGTTTCATAAGCCATTATAGGTATAAATAAAAATTGTACTTTTAATACTTCATACTTACTAAATTCAGCCATACCTAATTATAACAATTTCCAGCCATACCTACTTATTTCCGTTCTCAACTACCCAGGAATTTGCATGAAAACTAAAGAATTTCCACTTCACAATTTGGAAATAATTGTTCTTAACGAGTGCCATATTTAGCAGACATCCATGCAACGTTTTGTGTATACGAGTGCCGTACTTACCCGACGGTCAGCATGATACAGTTTGATTACCGGCCCAATCTGTTCAAAATGCTATTAATATATTCCTTTGACCTATATGTTTTGTTAGTCAGAAAGACTTTTGGTTTATAAATAAGTTGAAAAAAAGTGAAATAAAAAGTGCGTCATTTGCAGTAGAAGAATCTAAGTATGAGTATAAAAATTTCAATGTGGATTTGTTAGCAGATTTTAAAATTTATCATATATTGAATTAAAATATTTATTTATTATTTTGAATTAACCTAAATTTCATTTTTATTTATAATACAATCTCCAAATATTTTGTTATGTAACACTTAAATTAGAACATCAGCTTACCTTAATCAGCAAAGACTTGAATTTTAAATGTTTTTTTAAAAATTATTTTGCGATTATAAAAATGTTAGAAAATTCAGAGTAAATTACCGTTGAAAAAACAATTTGCTCTAATTGCTTTGAAAGAACAAATTTAACTATGCATATGAGTTGTTTCCTTTTATTTTTGGTCTCGTCAATAAAGCTTGATCTTTTTACGATAATTAAATCATACATATTTTCAAAACAAATTTTTAAAAAAGATTTTGGTTGTTTTTAATAAGTAACAACGTATAAATTTGAAATTATTTAATTACCAGAAATTTTTCCAATTTAATTCAATATTTTAAAGGTAATCGAAGCAGACCTCTAGGAAGCTAAAAAATTTATTTTTGTAACAAAGAAACTTTGGGATTGAAAAAAAAAATTTCTCTTTAGTTGAACATAATTATCGTTATTATTAAATCGTTAGAGTATTAGTAGTATTAATATGCCACACTAGAACTACACAATGATCTATTGGCGACGGTTTGGGAAACATCCATGTGAATGATCTGCAGAGGAAATATCTCCTCCACTTTGGTAGCAAGACGACACGAAGTCGAGCACTATAGTTCGTTCACCAGGAGTTGGCACTTGGCCCCACCTCCTCGGACGACCCTTAATGCTCGCCAAACGTAGACTTTTTCAGTCTCTTACTTCGCTTTATCATCTGCTATTATACCTTTCGTAACTCTAGCTAATTAAATATCTTGCAGCAAAATGTCTCAAACTATTCACTCGAAAAAGAAAAATGTCGTCAAATTTATGAAATATTTAATGTTAAAAAAAACGCACATAAAGATTGTGAAATAAATATTTTTGTCATTCGATCGTCAATAAGCAACCTTGATCAGGATTGTCCACATCTTTCTCTCAAAAATAGCGAAATAATTTCGTCGGACACTACGTGATGAAGGCGGAGCCTATACAACAGTTTAACGAAGACCGATACCGCACATACTTGGTCCTTTCGCAGGCTCATCAAAGTGATCGTCACTCACCCACTCGTTGCCCACAGCCTATGACTTCGGTGATTTACTCGGAACCATGTCTTCCAGATGGTTGACTGAATGTAAACACTTCCTGAAACAAGAAGAAACTTATGTTATGCTTACTTGTGAACAGGCTTAATATAATAATTTATAAATTCTAACTGGTTGGGAGCCTGAAACAAATTTGGGAAAATTAATATCACAGCATAAATAAAGGTTTGCCATGTTTTGAGTGTTTGCCTTATTTGGCTATAATTGCTTAAAATATCACTGTTATTTTTTGGATTGCATCGTGCTGAGAATAGCATGCTTGTGGAGTCTTATGCTTGTTTTGTTGACATTTAAATTTAGAAAATTTGTTATATTGTAAACACTACAAGTATACTATTTGATCTCTCCCTTTTTCAAGCTTAGGCGCAGAAATCATAGTAACCCGGAAGTCTTGCGACGAATTTTAACCCCTAGCTCCATCTGTGCTTAGTTTTACACGCTCAACCATTCATATAGGGTGGAGATAGCGTAGGGCACTGGGTCCATGTCCAAAAGGTCGTTGGTTCGATCCCCGCCGGCTGGAGACTCCCCGTGTAGTAAATGGTGACTGATGCCATTAAATCTGTCGAGTCACAAAGTCCTCCATGTTCCCATAACAAATCCTACCCCTGGGGGGTACTGATCCAGGAGTTTCTTTTCTTCTGGATTAGTTCGAAATTACAAGGCTACGGAGTTGAAGATTGGTAGTCGTAAACCCAAAATTGGTTCGGCGATTCATTAACGATCAGGTAAACTGCAAAACACAATTATTCTTGAACGATGTGAGGTGGCTCAGCCTTATTGTAGGTAGCCAGTGAAATCAAACATTAGCTCAAATGACTACAAACTGATTAAATATAACCATAATATTAGTTAATGCAGTTAACATAACGCCTTTATGTGCGTTTATGAAGTGCAGCATCTTTTATTGTATCACATAGTGTACTCCTAATTCAGTGGCATCTTAAGTGTATTTTGAAAGGCCACGATCAAGCCAGTACCTACTGGTGTTAAATTAGTTAATTTAACGATGTTTCTTTTGTGTAATAGAAATCTTTTCTGCAGTTTTAATTCTCTCTTTGTTATCTGCTGTTACTGTCGTAAGCCATTAGCGCAAGGAGTGCGATTGCTCTTGTTTCAAAGTGGCCCCATCTATGGCCACGAATTCAACTTCTGCCACTCCCATACGTCACACCCGTTTATAGGGGGGACCCATTTATCCATCCATCCATTCATTCATTGATCCACAGATCGTAATTTTGACTGAACCAGAGAACGATCAATCTCCAATTCAGTACCTCAATAGATATAATTTGTTATGGGAACATGGAAGACTTTGTGACCCAACAGAATTAACGTGCACCAGTCACTATTTACTAGTCTTCGGTCTGTTGGATTCGGACTATCGTTACCCAGCGCCCTGCCAACCAGACTATCCCTTCTTTGTTATCTAAAGGCACATATTGCGTCTCAAAAGATTATATTAACATAACGGAATGCAATAAATTTACAGCACTCCGTGGCATCACTTTTAAAAACCAGGGAGACATGAGATCGTGGTGCAGAACAGAAAGACACAAACAAAGCATAAGAAATATCATTAAATACTGTGTCGAAGACATAATGTCCCAAAACGACCTCATGGACCCCTTGTTTACCATCCCATAAGTATTTTAACTTATCAGATTTAATATTGACTTTGTTTTTACTGATTTTAAATACCTATACTCTGGTTTAGATTCCTATGTTTACCCTTTTTAATGATTTTGGGCACTGATGCTTTTATTTTTGGTGCTTTTTTTTATATTTATTGCATTCTGAATTACCCTGGATATTTTGATTTTCATTGTTGCTTTTATATACCTATTTTTAAATCTGCTTACTTTTCAAATTAGTTTTATTGTATTTTGGCTATCAATTATACATTTTCTAATCGTTTTTAATCATCAAACCGTCATCTTACGAAGAGATCTTCTTGTCATGCTTTTGGAGTTGAGCTGTCATTATTGTAATGAAATCATCTGTACTCTTATGTCATTTTTTTGTAACTGTATTTATTGTATTTTATTGTGGTTGTCAAATTGTATTGCATTGTAACAGTCGAGTGCCGGGCGGGACGACTAACCAAATTCTTATATTGGCACCATCTCACTAGATCTGCAGTAATAAGCTATTTGATAGATTCCTATTAATTAAGATCATGAAGCAATACTAGCGATATATTACAACAATTAACATAAACGTAGTCACCCTCTCATACTTCACTTATTTCCATTATGAAACCAATATAAAAATTACACATCCGAAAGACAAAACCCGGAGAAAATGCAATTTGATCAATCATCTAACACAGCGGTTTTTAACCCTTAGGGTTCCTTAGAAAGAGTGATAGGACTTTAGAGAGTAAGGATATTTTTTTAGCCAGTTATGATATTTCAAACTTTTTGCTGTATTTATATACAATTATAATAAATTAGTTATTCAATATATTGATTATTTTCAGGAATAAAAAATAATTTTTCCCAACAATATATTGAATAAATTATATAAACAATATGCATGTATAAAAATTGCATTAGTATTTGCCTTCAAACTTATGAATTGAAAAAAAAAATCCAATTTCAACAATAAAGAAATATTTCTCTAAGTATTTTTCTGCTAGCTATTGGTATTTTATATTGTATATAACTGTTTTATCTGATTTTATTCTCTCTCATTTCTTACCCATGTACCGTTTTACCTTTTCTGCGCATTTTATAGAATTACGCCTTTTATCGATTTTTATGAACTTTTAAAAATACGTGTCTTGTGATTAACAATTTTAATAGTTTCATTTATTTTATGACGATGAAATTGTAGCGTACAATTTACCATTAAATCTGACTCAACAAATTGTTTGGCGCAGCATATCTTCCTTTGGATCTTGTGCCATAAAACTCTACATTCAATCAATCTCTGATAAGCATTTTCATTGTTTATTATAACAGTTCCTTTTTGTTTTCATTTTAATTGCTTTTCTACCTAAATTTTGCTCATTTAATTAATTTGAAACTTATAACATACAAAAAAAGAAAAGAAATAAAAAAAAATAAAGGCAGAAATAGACTAAATGCCACTCCAGACCTGAGAATTAAACTGTTCGACATACGACCTAATTTTAAAACTAATCATTGATGAAACTATGAAAAAACTTCCTTCTCACATGAAAAGTTTTCCAAATTATCAAGTCTTATTTTGGTAAATTAATTTGTTTGCAATAGCTAACGAATTTCATTTGGAAAGCATGATTCCCACCAAAAGATTATTCAGTGCTCTTCCATAACCGAAAAATATTAGGAACTGCTCATCTGTTACCAAGCCATGAAAGACCGGCTTTCCTCCCCCCCCCACCCCACTCAAATGAAGCACTCAGAGCTACCCCACCCAAATGAAACATTCAATTAAGTATACACTGAAAAGAAAAAAAGTATGTTTAAAACTACGAGACTGTGGTAAAATTTAAGGTAAATTAGCAATAAAATGTTTATTTTGATATGTGATAAAATTAGGTGATTCGATCATGATACCTTAGAGCATGTCATAAAATATATTTATCCGATTAAATTCATTTTTCAGTTTTGTATTTTTAGTAAATGTGTGGTAATACAAACTAGAATTTTGAAAACCAAAATTTCAGGTAATCCTTTACCATACAAACGAAAAATTTACCAAATTAGTTTATATATTTTTTGGTTTTATTTAGAAAATTTATTGTTTTTTGTTGTTACTAGCAATTTTATTACCATACAAGTATGGTAATTTTACCAGAATTTTTTTCCTGTATGCCATGAATGTTCAAAATTTTCAATAACACAAAAATTGTGTGAAAATTGTCAAAGAAATTCCATTTAATGTAGCAAAGAGACCAGATGATTCATTTGTGGAACATTTATTTCAAATATTTATTTCTTCCTTTAGGTTTGAGTATGCCTACAGTGCAGACGGATTTGCCAGATGATGAGGATGATGAAAAAACACCTTTAAATGATTGCAGGTAGTTATTTTTGAAAAGTTCTGAATTTCATGCAATTTGAGTTTTTTTTTTAAAAAATGCACTCACGTTCGTGGAAATTGTAACGCCATGAAGGTTTATGCAAATTGAACAAAATTTACATGAAATGTAAAGTGAGATAAAACATGAAAATGACTAGAATTACAAAGCTATCACGCATGTTTATTTGTACCACAATCAGTCATATGTAGAATATATTTCATTAATTTCTGATTCATAGTGTTGAAAATTTTTACAAACATTAGTGTAATTGTGGAAAAATGACCATTTAATGTTTAAATCAACAACTGGAGGGCAAACTTTTTATCTTGGACTAAACTTGAAATGCCTATCTTGGAAAATGGACATGGCAAGTTAAGATGCTTGCATATTATTTATACATTTGGATTCGTTTTTTAAACTATAACGATTTTTTTAATTTTCTTTTAGAACTGTATCACACTGTTAAAATTTTCAATGTATAGACAAATGCCACCATTTTGCTGTTGAGGAAAACTAAATGCCTTTTTAAGTAGAAAACGATTGTAATCGTGCAAAAATTAGATTAAATTGACAAAATTGGGAATTTAAGGAATTAGGGCGGATATGTTATTAAAAATAGGATTTTTATTTCAATGAAATGCTTGCGCATTGAATCTATAAATTTATTCGAATGCGCATGAAAATGTATCGTCAGTAAATAAGCAAAAACTTAAAAATTAAACTATAACAGTTACTACATGCACTGTAAAGGATTTTAGTTTACCTTAGCGCCAAAAATGGGGGCAACTATACACCAAAACTTTTTACAGTGTAGGAGCCAAATCAATTCATAATGCATGAATCACTTTGTTTATATAAGTTTTTATTTAACAGATTTTAAAAATCCACAGTTCTTAATACAAAATTCCACTGTTGCAGCAAATTAATAACACCGGTTACCATAATATAAGATACACTTTTTTTTTTTTTGTTTACGATACGAAGAAGTTATCCACAAAATATCGAAAAACTTAGGATTCTCATATAGACTTATTTCCATTAAAAATCTGTACTATAGTGTTTAAAAAATATATGAAAATATTGAATTTTTTTCCTTTTCCACTCCACTTTTTAATATGTGTAAGATCCGTGGGAACCCTGTTTTTAGATGTTTTCCGTGGGCAATATGTTCATAAAATCTAACTGAGAAGGCAACGATTTTTTCTAAGACTCCAAAGATGTTTAAATTTCACGATAGTTAACTTTCGAGCTTCAGAATAAATAATAAAAAATGAAGATCTTAAAAGATGCCAACACTGATTTGCTCTCAAATTTTTTTTCACTCAATGAGATTGCTAGAAAAGTTACGTTTGTCATCTAAGTCACCCTAATTCTAAGCTGAATTGATTTGAGGTTACAAATTTGGGTTCATTGCTCAACATTGAAAATAAGGCCTATTTTTGTGCTACGTAACACGCATTTTAACCTTTGGTCCATTTTTTTCAAACTCTTCTAAAACATGAGCAAATAAAAAATCTTTTAAATTTTCATTAGTTTCATGTGAAGTTGGAGTTTTGATCTAATGAATCACGTAAGAAACAGTTTGAACACAGCAACAATAAAATGTTCTATCTCATAAATATCTTATATCATACTGAATATTTTTTTCAAATAAATTATTCTATTTAGCTGCATGAATTCCAACAAAGCCAACATGAATTCCAACAAAAACTAATATTTCTAAAGTTTTTATTCATTTACAAGAAAATCACTAAGACGGAAGTTTAACAAATTTTTTGTAGCGTTTCCAATTGAAAAAAGGGAACATTTGCATACCTGCCAACTTTTACGCATTTGGCGTAAAATTTTATAGTAAAATGTATGGTTTCTAGGGTAAACTAACTAGTGAAGGAACACTTGAGCTTTGCTTGCCTTTTAAAAAATCATATTAATTTCAAAATTCGTAATTTTAGTTAAATGACAAAGTCAACATATTTGTTACTAATTGCAAATTATGTAAAAAATTGTAGAGGACTTACATAATATTGTTTTAAAGTTTTGGAGGTTCAAATAACAAGTAGTAAGAGGACCAAATGAAGAGACAGCTCTTACCAGTGAATGAACACCCAGTAAAGGAACACTTAATTTTGGTTATTTTTTAATGCTCTTTATGAATTTATAAGCCATACAAATACTTAAAAACAAGGCTATTCTTGAAATTATAGCATATAAATACTTGGAAAATGTAAGCTTTTTTTTATAATCATGAATTGAAAATTAAAGTGTCAACATATTAACGCATACTGTTCATTCACTGGGAAATCTATGACCAGTAAAGGAACATGCCTGTTCCCTCACTGGTTAAAAGTTGCTTTTCGTATTTTTAACATACTTTTGATGCGGAACATCACTAAAGGTACAAGAAAATTAAAGTATCTTTTATTTTCATTAACTTCGATAAAAAACCAGTAAAGGAACACTTGTTCCCTCACTGGTTTTTCATCGTTTGGTGATCCAGTGAATAAACATCCCCTTATCTCAGTACTTTATCATGCTATGATGCTTTAAAAAAATAAAACGTAACTTCAATAACTTTATTTTGAATTCTCTTTTTTCACAGTGAGAAAAATAAAACTATTGCATGCAATTAATTCCACTTCAAACATACAAATACAAACACTCACCTTATAATTTTTACAAAGAAGCAAGGTGTTGCAGAGATAATAACAAATTCAAAATTTTTTCCAGTTAAGTCTATTTAACCAGGTAATCCAAAACATTGCTAGATGACTTCCGATTGTTTGGCAGTAAGCTATTGTTACCAATATATCTAAAAAAAAAAAAACTTTCAAATTCTTATTTTTAATCAATATATATGAAATGTTACTTCACTGGGTAGTGTTCCTTCACTGGTTGGTTTACCCTATATATTCCTTGCATTTATAAACTTAATTTATAATCTTTTTGATCCACCACTATTTTTTAAAAAAAATGAAGCATATATAATAACGTGTAATACTGTTTTAGTAGTCCGCATAAGCTTGTTCAAAATACAGCGTATGTTTCTGACTAAAATTGTAATTTAAATTCCATTTTACTACCACTGGGGAAAATCATCCTCAAAAGGATTAAAAGTTGGCAGTTATGCATTTGACCTCAAAGAAATTATAGCTTTGTTTCCGCAATCTTTATTAGCATGAAACAAAGTGGAAATTATGAAGAAGGTAGTAACAATCATCAATTTTATAGTATTGATAATCAAAAATAAAGCTATTACCACGAAATGATCTTCAAATACAAAATTATCTATAAACTATATCTTTATTGAGCCGACTAGGTGGCCGAGTGATTAGCTTGCCTCTCTGCGGAGCCGATGGTTGCGGGTTCGAATCCCGCTCAGGGCATGGATGTTTCTCTCTCTCTGTGTTCTATGTCCTTTCTTCTGTGTGATTGTGTGAATGTAACCCACCCTATAAACGGGTTTGTGGTTGTATGACGTGGGCGACGCTACTCCACCGCCGTGGCTTAGCCGTAGGTGCTAGGTAACGATAAGAGAGAAGCAATTCTGGCATTGCTGAGGTCAATTGGAAATAGACCCAAGTGCCCGCCATTAACCAAAAGAAAAAAAAATATCTTTATTGAACATCTAAAAAAATTTTGTCTCGCATAACTTTAATCATGGTGCAGCAAGATGTAAAGTCATTATTTCAAATGCTCGATTAAAACTCCGACTTTAGCAAAGTTTTCATCGAAAACTAAGAAAATTTCAATATTGTATTTAAGTTAATGTTATTGTTAAATCATATATTTCTATTTATTCTTGGGCGCAAATTATTAAAAAATGAAACACCGACTTTTACCTAATAAAAAATGGTCGAATTTTCATGTACTAAAATGTAATTTTAATGGGTTGATTGGATAGTTTATATGCACAAATTAATTTGTGAAGACAATAATGTTAGGAAATCTGAATCTGACACAGTAAAAATGTTTGTTTGAATAAATATACTCATTTTTCAACGAATTTTTAATTTTGATTATCAAAATATGGGAATGAGAGTGGCAACAACCTGTAAAATATGATTTAGTTAAGAAAAGCGTTCGATATTTTGGGTCATTTAATGTTAATTTCACTTCATTCGTATTTCACCCTCTTGCATGTTATGTTCATTCTTTTCGGGATTGAGCTTCCGAGGTAGTAACGCTATGGCAATTGCTATGGCAGCCAAACATCCATTTTATGACTAAGGACGCAAATTTGATTGTGAAATTAAACCTTCTAACAGATACAAAAATATTGTTTTACTTTGTTAGAGCTTAAATACACCCTATTGCATAATTAGTATGTTACTTCACATGCTTTTTTATTTATACGTAGTAATGGCTAAGTTTAAATTAAATTTATAAATCAAGAAATAAACTAGAAATAGCATAAAATTTGCTACAACTTTAAATGCAAAAATGAAATCTTACGGAAAATCCGTATAAAATATCCAATCTGAAATGCAACTATAAATTTCTAAAGCATTTTTTTCCTCGCTTAAATATTAATTTACACCTCCAAATAGGTATTTTTTCATCCATTTTTGTCAAAATGTGTTTTTTTTAAAAATTATATAAGGGTGGCCATTATGAAACACCCTGCATACGTGTTTGAATTGTGGGTAAAAAAATTTTATTTTAAAATTTCAAAAAACCGAGATAAAATGTTGCAATCGTTCAAATGATACGCAATCGTGTCTTTTGGACTTGTCAACAAAAATATGCAAATCACAGACCCCTATCACTTTCAGATGTTTACGTTATATTTCAACGACATATAATTAGGAAATTCTTTCTCAACAACTGTACTAATTTGAGTCTATGTGGTTGTCTGCCAAATTAAAGGTAAAAAATGAAAAATCTGCATGCCCATGCACAGTGTGAAATTACGACCTCAAATGTTCACAACTTTTAATTACAAGATTTAACTTCTTATAAATAGCTACAAACCATTTCGTTAAATTCATTTACATAATTTTTTTTTAAATATAGCAAAATCATATTTCAAAACTTTTTTCTTTCTGGTTTGTCTTTGAACATGCTCTAGCTTGACAAATCTAAATGTAAAGATTGTCAATACACGTCAATAATTGTTTTTATATACAAACTTGTTTTGATGAACGTGTATTGTATATAAAAAAACATGTATTGTACGGAAAAAATAATTTTTAGTGATCTCGAGAGATTAAAAAAATTTTTTTTTTAATATTGAGTACAAATTTTTCTTCAATGAAGTGAAGTAAGAAAATTTTATTTGTTCTTTCACTATGCCCAATGGCAAAAAAGGAATCATGGGAGGCAATGAACCCAGGTGTCCAGCCAAACATCCATTTTATGACTAAGGACGCAAACTTGATTATGAATTTAAACCTTCTAACAGCTTAACACTTGACTGAAAGAATTCATTTTATGGAGAATATAATTTGATTTTAAAACTAATTTAATTATGAAGTTTTAAGGTCAATTAATAAGGAGAAATACTGCCAATAAAATCCTTTATATTTAAAAAATTTTAATATTATTTTGTTGGAAATAATTCATTTTATGAACTTTAATTCACATTTATGTGTCCTTAAAATATGGGTTATTTGTTTAGTTTAGTGAAATAGGATGTTTTTGCGATCGTACTCCTCATCTGATTCAGGAGTTTGTGGCCACACCTGCTTTTCACTGATAGCAGGATTTTGTTCAAGTTCATTGACTGACGCCTACTTTATCAAGTGGGTTGTTTAATCTCTTTTCTCTTACTGTTTCTTAAAATGATCAAAATTCTTAGTTTATTCTTACGAAACGTTTATTATATTGAACATATTGTCTACCAATCAATGATATGGTAGTATTTGTTTACAATGGCAGTTTTACTGCATTTTTAAATTCCAGGTACCGATGGAATTAAACACGCATATAAATGAGAGCATTGTTTAATTATGTATTTATGTTAACTTGCAATAATAATGTAATTTTTCAACAAAATAATGATAGTAGTAAATGAGTATTAATAGCTGGAAAATGTGAATGACCGAAGACTAGCGGTGGGTATAGTACACTCTAAAAATGTATGCAGATATTGAATGACCATAAACTACCCACTTGCACAGCTAAAATTATTTCACCAAAATAAATTGTAAAAATAATTAGCCTTAAGAAGTTTCTTTTTAAAGATAGGTGAAAAGTCTAATAAAACATTTAAAGAATTCTGCTTATTACATTATATTTTGATACATTAAAATACAATCAATAGTTCATTCTAAATTTTTATCAACACTTATTAACAAAGGTTACGAAATGCTTGTTACGATTCTACGCTTTCAGTAGATTGATGAATTTTTTTAAATGTTAATACAATAAGAGTATATGGTTATAAAGTTTTAGTGGATCATGCTAAGGTATTTGAAACTTCAAACTGAAGATTTAATGCGTCAAAATGCTATAATGTTGCTACCACTAAGAAAATTTTTTCTCAACAGCAGTACAAGTTGACCGCTATGCTATCATATTAACCATTATTATTTTAAGTGAAAGATTGAGTTATTAATATAATTGAAGTATCAAATTATAAAAAATATAATATAAACAGTATATTTATTACGAAAATCCTTTTTAAGAAAAGAAAGGAGGGAAATTGTGTAATTCACTCAAACCCTCAACGTTTGGCCACAAGCAAGTACAATACCACTCAAGCGACTGCACCATTTTTGAAGCGAATAGTTATTAGTATTTTCTGTTACATCTTACGCAGAATTTAAAGTTTTAAGGGATGGACACATATAAGGCATACTACCATATCTGCAAACAACTACGGATTGTCCGTAATATTTCATTTTTACATATAAAGTGGTTTTGAATCTTATAAATTTCTTTTTACTCCCTGGATTTATTAATTCAATGATTTTGACTACCACAAAATGCAAATAAATCTCATATCGCTCATGGGCTGCAATAGCGGTACAACTCAAAAAATCAAGTTTTGAGATAAGTAGGTTTAAAGTTTTCATTACTAAACAAAATGCATAAGAAATTCTTTAGTTTGCTTAAACGAAGATTACCATCAAGTTGAAATATGAGTTGTGCTAGTACTGCTGCTGAAAGAATGTGCATTTTCATATTTACGCCTGTTCTTAGTCCAAAACGCGTGTTTTTTTAGTTGTGCCACTATTGCAGCCCATGAGCGATATATAAGAGCAAGTTACAGAAACGAAAATAAGTGTAAGCCTTAACAATTGTGCAAAGCAAATTTTATCTGCAATTGCATTTCAATAAGTTTGCTACCATTTGAAGAAATACATCTTCGAAAAGAGTAAATTTTGGCAAATCTTTATACTACTGATATACGAAGTATGATATGCTAATAATCTTTTAATGCTTTTTTATGTTACATATATTATTAGTTGTTAGTTTATGTTCGGTTATGTTCTCCTAGTATGCTTGCATGGAGTGGTTGAGTGTTTGCACATTCCAGCGAATGATATATGTATCAAGTGCTGTTGCTGCTAAAAATTAAAACAAAAATCAACAAAAAAATCACCCGAATGATTTTTTCAAAACATGTTTTTCTCTGTTAAGCATAATGATTTGCAACTCTTAAGAAGCGAATGAATATGATAATTGCAATCTTTTCAATGTTAGTTGTAAGAGTGTATTAATTGCAATCGTAAGTGTGATTCCTCCCATTTATAAGGACCATTGTATGAAAAATATCTTTGATACAAAGTTCGGTACCTCGGTGATTTTTAGGTTTTAAGATCTAATTTTGTTCTCTTTTCAGTGGGCAAGATGTGAAAAATTGGGATGTTTTTGTTGTTACTCAACCAAAAGATGAAGATGAAACTGTAATATCCAAAGCTGTTGACATCACTTTGAAAGCTTTCAAACTTTTGATTTACTTGTTGACCTTTTGTGTAGTCCTTGGCTCTGCAGTTATTTCAAAAGGAACGCTTTTGTTTATGACATCGAATATAAAAGGAAACAAAAATCCACAAGTCTGTAAAAGAGGATTAGGTATGTGCCGTTATCAATTTCACTGGAAAAGTTTTTTTCTTCCTCAACCAATATATATATATAAATTAAAATTATACTTTTTTATGCATGCTTTATTTTTGTTAAATTTAGATTTCAAATTGTTAGTTTAAAAAAACGAATAAATAGCTGTTGATAATATAATGGGATAATGGGCATCTAATCTCCATGGCGCTTAAAAATCTAAGCAATCAACACATTTTCAAAATCCGTCTTTCTTTTCAACTCTGATTGCACCATTGTTTCTCCTGGGATCCGTCTTTTGGTCTTTGATTATTAATTTTGTTTAAAAATCAAAAGAGAAATAATTTTTGATAACCTTTTACTTTTTATTTCATTTAACAAGTCTTTCAAATTTTGAATTATATGGCACGCAAATTTTTACAAATTTAAAAATACGTCATTTTCAGTGACAAACATAAAGTTTAATGAAATTGGTAAGTGTAGTAATTTCTAGATTGGAATTGATTCCTCATTAAAAGTTAGTCAGTTTTTTTCTGGTCCATTTTCATTAAAAACGTTTAAAAGTGGACATACTTATTTGACCACTTTATTTTTAGATGAATCACAAATAATAATTGAAGATCAAAGGAGAAGAACAGTTTATGTCCATTTTTTATTCAGTCTTTTACATTTTGAGATTATTAAGTTTTGATGAATCAATAACGTGAAAAATCGGTTCTCCCCGAAAGTTGTTAGACAGTGGAGATGGGCTGCATTGTCCACACGTAGACAACATAGAAAAGTATAGTCAAAAAGGCGACGAGAATATTTGAGGAAATATTGATTAGAGAGGAATTTTGAGGAAAAAATGGTTCTTGTACAATTAAATTTTCAAATTTTATTTTGTTTTTAACATCAAAAATTGTAAACTTTGTTAAGAAGTTTTTAAGGGGTGTAACTAAATACTTGTGACACTCGCGTCACTTCAACTTTATTTTATAGCAGTCGTTAAACAGCCGACCCAATTTTAGGTTTACCACAACTGATGTTCAACTCCGTAGCCTTGTAATTTTGAACCCAATCCAGAAGACAAGGGAACTCCTGGATCAAGTATTGGGAGAAATTTATCTTCGTGGAGAACTTTTTGATGGAACTAACCCGCATTTGCGCTACATGGAGAGAAAAACCACGAAAAACTCCACGGTTAGCCAAGGGAACTCTTACCCATGATCCGTCTACCACTGAGGATATTTTATGTCAGCACTATGGTCGGTGCGAGCCCGGTGTGGAATTCGTATCGACCAGCCATCCCTGGCATTCGAAACCACCTCATTGGAATGTGAACGTTCTATCCCTGAGCCACTGCTTAGATGTCTTCAATTGTCTAAAGGCGCTATTTTCTATCTACTTTTAGAAATTTTGAAAAGCAGAAGTTAAAGTACAATTTTTCAAGCATGTACTCTTCCTTTGTCATGATACTGTAGTACCCACTATTTTTAAGACCCACATAATTAGAATCGTGTATTTAAGGAATCATTTTGTAGAATGTGTCTAAAGTTACGGATAAATTATGCTTTTAGGTTGAATGCTTAGAATGAAAATGTTTTTGCAATATACTCGAGTTGTTAGCATTTTGCTATAATTTCTTTAAATATACAGTTACCTGTAGTGTATTTGCATTTTTCCCTTCTTTATTGTATGATAATGCTTTATTTTTTAAGGACTGGATAGAGACAAAGATTACGAAGTATTTTTACCGGAGTTTGAAAGAATTCCTTGGATTTGGAGTCTTTTTCTTGCCTTGATTGTGCCAGAACTGTTTGCACTTTTTCGAAGTACAAGAATATGTGTTTTCAAGTCATACAAAAAACCAAAACTTTTTACCTTTATTTCTGTGAGTAAATTGAATTTTTATTACTTTTTATAAGTCTTGTCTAAAATTAATTTTTGTTTTTGCTTTTAGTTATTTATTGGAGAGACGCTTTACGCAGTTGGGCTTTCATTATTAGTATTTATAGTGTTACCAGATCTCGATGTCATCAAAGCAGCCATGTTGACGAACTGTGTTTGTTTTATTCCATCTGTACTTGGACTTCTATCCAGGCATTCTGGCGAAGCCAAGAGACCTGTAAAAGTAATTTTTGATATATTAGCAATACTAATTCAAGGAACTAGTTTCGTTTTATGGCCAATGACTGAAAAAACTCCCAGAGCTTGGTTGATACCTATATCAGTAACTTTAGTATCTGCTCGATGGTGGGAAAACTATGTGGATAAAAACTCCCCTTTTTCTTTTCTACGCAAGCTGAGCTCAATAAAGGAGGATTTAAGAAAAAGTCGTTATTTTATTTCTATATTTCTTTCCTTATGGAAAATGATAGTCATTTTTTGTGCCATGTTTGGATTTTTACATCTAACTATGGATGATGCTACCTTCATCTTTAGAGGATTTACTGCCAGTTTTAGAAGTCATCCCATAATGGTTCAACAATTGCGCCTTCCATTACAAGTTTTATCTGATATTCCTACAGCCAGTCCCCTGGATGAACAAGTTTTTTTAATGTCCTCTGCTCTAACACCAATTTATGTTGCTCTCATACAAGTAGCAGCCTCTCTTATGTGTTATGTATTTGGAAAATTTGCCTGTAAGATTTGCATTCAGGGATTTAGTTTTGCTTTTCCAATTAACTTAACTATACCTGTCTGCATATCTATGTTAATAGCTTCATGTGGAGTTCGGACGGAGGATGTGTGTTTTTTTGAGGCTGTTTTACCTAAATATTTATTTTGGACTTGCCCGCAAGGCAATTTCTTTCAAGACTTTGTATCCAGCCAATATGCTTGGATATGGCTTCTCTGGTTGCTTTCTCAAATATGGATTACTGTGCATATATGGACACCAAAATGTGAGCGTCTTGCCAGCACTGAGAAGTAAGTATTTTTATTTTTTAAGAAATTTTTATCAGGTTAATTTCGTTTAAAACACTAGCTGTCCTATCTTTTTATTTTTTATTATGCGTCAAATTTTGTTAGTTTTCTTACTTTGAGTGAGTTTTAGAATTGCCTCCTATATGTTCTAGTCTAGTTGCAATAATGGTCTGTGATGATTTATATTATTCAAATATGACCAACAAAGTTTTCAATGAGGAAATTTTACATATCTTGCCAACATATAACAGCCATTTAAGAATGATAGTGGTGACTTGTCTTAAAGGATACGGTTATTTTTGGAATTTTTTACTGTGAAATTTGCTTTGTTATAGAAAATGAGGTTCATGTTTTCGATTCAGTTTTCTCGTTAAAAGGATTAATTACTTAAAAGAATATAACACTAAATATAACATCAGATCTTGATAAAAAGATTTTATGATGCAGAATTAGTCATTTTTACTGAGGCCATTTGAACGGAAGTTATTCGTTCCATCTTCCAAAAATGTTTTATGACACATGAACAAAAATAGCTTTCGTTCATAGTGATTGTGGCGCAGCAAGTAAACATATGTAATTTTTGTTCTAAAGGTTCAAAACCGAGGGTTCATTTCATTTTCTTCAATGAATTAATTGCTTTTTTTAAGAAAAAATTGTTTAAATTTTTTTATTTTGCTAAAAATGTTTTTAAATGTTTTAATTTATGTATTTTTCATTATTAACTTTTATTACATTTTTTTTTTAAATCAGCCAATATTTTTTATTAAATACAATGAAAAATACATTGCATCATAGAGTAATTTATGACAGCGACAATAAAGTCTTTGTCATTTGCAAAAATCATTTGTTTAAAAAAATATAAGTAAAAGCATCTGTTCGTATCTGTTGTCTTTTAATGGCATAGTTTGATTTCTTCATTGATTCGACGTATTATTAATTTTATTTGAAAAATGCCTCAAGGTATTATTTTAAACTTAGTCCAAGGCCAAATTATTAGACGCACTGAAGATTCTATGCAAAATCTTAATTATCATGTAATACTATGCAGCTTTATTATTTTTGCACGACTGAAACCGGTTTGCACTTGTTTACGGTTGTGTATTGTTGTTAGCATTGTAATGCAATACGCTAAAAATAAATACAAATAGGAAGCATATAAAAAATCTCTTGGATAAAAACCCATTACATGTATGTTTAAATATAAAAGTATTGCATATAAACTCATGCAAAATATATAATTATTAAAACACTACAGTGCGTCTAATAATTTGATCTAATTATTATAATATACTAATATAATACCTTATATAATAAATATTCAATATTTAATTAATATATCGTCTAATTTATCCTATCGTCAAATTTATATTGTATATTATCAAATTTAACAGTTTAATATACAAACGTAAACAAGTGCAAACCGGTTTCAGTCACGTAAAAACAATAAAGCTGTATAATATCACTTGATAATTGAGATTTTACATCGAATCTTATAGTGCGTCTAATAATTTGGCCAAGGACTGTATAGTTTTTCCGGGCTAAACTTAATTTTCAATTCTTGACAGGTTAAACTATAAAGGAAATTCTTATTAAATACACTCTTGGTGCTTATTTCCGCCTATGGAGCACTGTGATGATGGCAATCGTTTTATTTCTATTACTCAGCGTGAAATTTTTATTTGGACTAACTTAGGGACCTTTCAAATGGTCCTAAAATAAATAACATTCGAGTTAATGTCACGAAATCTTAGTTTCTCTAAAAAGATTTGTTCATAGCAAAATTTTGTTTTATTTGGTGCCATTTCCACGCTGGATTAAAAAGATAAAAGGTTTTGTTTGTTCATGAATAAAAGAGAAACCAGCGAAAAAAAATCACAATATTGTACTGTATTAATAAGTTTCAAATACCAACAATGCACAATTATAATTAGTTCATAGTTTTTCATTTTAGCATTGAGATTATGTGTGTTTAGAAGATCGAAATATTTATGTTGCATTATATTATTTTATCGCAGTTAATTGCAGAAAATTATTTTTTAATTTAAATCAGCTTTGATTTCTGAAATACAGAGTTCACTACTATTCACGAATGAAATTAAGTACTATTTTCTATAAAACTCATATATTCTAAAATTCTTCTTACATAAAGGAGAGCTTTCTATAGGAAACTTAGGCTGAAAAATCATTCAATGTTTCCAGATACTGATCACGAGTTCCCAGAAAGTTTTTCCTCTTTCTTTTCTAATTTACTACACAGTTTAATCAGTTTAACAAGTGTACCTAATGTCGTTTGGCGAAGTATAATCATTTCTGGTTTGTGAACAAATAAACTTTACATTCAATTTCAGTGCAATCTGATGATTAAAGTATCATTAAAACATAAGCAATACTAAAATATACAGAATCATTCTTCCTACATTCTTAGATTATTTTCTGTCTTTCTATTTAAGAAATGAACCCCCCCCCCAAAAAAAAAAGGAAAAAAATCTAATTAATTTTTATACTACTTAAAGAAAACTTGACCAAAATGAGAATTTCAGAAATAAATTTGGGAACTTAAAATCCTGTATACTGCCGTGTAATAGAAAAACAGCGCAAGCAACAAAAAATTCAAAATTAAGATTTATATTTATTTGGCGTTTTTGTATGATAAGCTACTTATTGCAGAGTTTTTTTTTCTTCAAACATTTTATTTCATCAATTTTTTGAAATTCTATTTTAGCGTTCGTAGCATTAGCAATAGAAAGAAAATTGTTCTTAAGCCACCTTCCTCACAATTAAGAAGCACTTACGTTTTTTTTTAATTACACGGCAGTTTAAGTATTAATAATAAAAAAATTGCATTTTAGTTTACATGAAAAGCATATTACAAATACGTCTAATAATATGCAGGTTATTTGTAAATCCAATGTATTGCGGAGCGTTAATTGACCAATCAGTTGCCTTAAATCGGAGAAGAGACGATGAAGGAGAAATTAAGAGTGAGGTAAGAAATTTTTCAGACTGGCTTTGTTTCTACTTTATGTAAGAGAAATTTTATTCTTTTTAGAATTAGTTATAATGAGCTTTATAAATGGCATTAAATTTTACTCTCGTATTTTAAGCACTTTTGCTACGTCATTAGAATCTATTTTCGTTAACCCTTTGACTACTATATGCGTCCAGCGAAACCATCGGTGTGGCCTATGGGCTCATATGTGCGTCCCGCGCAAGCCCTCTATGTAGATAGATTATGCATTATAATATCTTAATACTCCGCAAAAAAAATCATTATTTAGTGAAAAAGTATTCAGTTCCCAGTGATTATTTTCATGCAAGCATTTTAAAAATGAGTTATTTTCATCCTAATTAGTATTAAAAAAATTCTCGACATGAGTCATCATTAAATACATTTTCAATTTTTTCAAGGCATTGTTATATCATAACAAAAATATTTAAACTTAAAATGAACACAAAAGAGAATCAATTATTTTGTCTAATTATTGTTTTATGTAAGGTGGAGTTAAAAATGTGTTTTCTCGCAAAACTGGTCGTGATTCAAAAATGTTTGGGAACCTATGGTATTTGGTATGACCACTCTCATGCGAACTTTTAATGCCATTTACGAGGTTGAACATCAGCCGAATCATGGGTTAGAGTCCCCTTGCAGTCAGACTAACCATGGGAGGTTTTCTTCATGTTACGCAAATGCGGGTTAGTTCCATCAGAAAGTCCTCCCCGAAGGCAAATTTCACCCAATACTTGATCTAAGAGTTCCCTTGTCTTCTGGATTGGATTCAAAATTACATGGTAATGGAGTTGAACATTGGTAGCAGTGAACCCAATATTTTGGGTCGGTTGTTCAATGACGGTTATGAAATAAAATTAAAAAAAATAAATATGAGCAATTCAGCCGTTTCGGAGTTTTAATTTCATAGAATTCCATATTGTATTTTCTAGGAGCTGGATTTAGAAGGTAACAACGAAGAAAACGATATATCTCAATATTACGAAACCATTTCAATTCAAACTGAAACATCTAGTGATCCTGCAGGTAAAAATGTTCGAAACTCTGATCATATTACTAGGATTTACGCATGTGCAACGATGTGGCATGAAACAACTGAAGAAATGTTGCAAATGTTAAAATCAGTGTTAAGGTAAACGTGTTATAATTGTTTTTATTATTATGTAGCGAGTGTCCTGAAAAATATATTAAATTATATTGATTTACAGAATGGATGAAGATCAATGTGCTAGAAGAAATGCCCAAAAGTACCTCAGAATTGTGGATCCAGATTACTATGAATTTGAAGGTCTTTTTTTTTATTAATTTAGTTTCGAATGTTTGACGAATTAATTTTTTAGTATAACATTTATTTTACCCTGCAATCACGAATAACTAAAAAAACTTGCATAATTTATTGAGATATTTGAGTTCTGTTGCATATTTTTGATATTATTAAATTTACTTTCCTGGAAATTACTTGAATGTTGCAAGATTTTTCCAGCTTCAACGTTGTTATATAATTATTTCGAAACAGTTCATCCAAAATTGTCAAACATTTCTGTGTTATAGAAATGACGAAATAATATTCTATGCGGGAAATAAATTAATTTCTAAGTTTTATCTAGCAGTGCAAAAGGCAATTAAAATATTTTCGTTACTGTATAGTATCACAAGAAGTTCTTTCAATCGTCTTTACAAACGATTTTTTATTTCGTTTTTGAGTCTCTGACTCGGATTCTGTTAATTTGGGCACAAATTCTAGTCTTTGTTTAAAAGTTTTTTTTGCTGTGCCTTTCTTCTAATTTTAAGATTTTAAAGACTGCTCCGATAGATATCGTAAGAAGGATTTTTAATAAAATTTATATATTTTCTGTTTTGCTTCTTTTGAAGGGTATTTAGAAACAAATAAAATGCGTGTTGAAACGTACAGGGTGTTTATAAATTCTCGGACCCATTTTGATGTTTAATAACTCATAAAATAATGAAGATATAAACAAACTTATGGCATTTATTGATGGAATAACTCATATATTTTCCTTTTCAGGTTTGAATATCTTTACTTTTGTAAATATTGTCTGCTTATTAATTGCATTTTTCTCTCTTTTGTTTTTGGCAACTATTGCAATGTTATGTTTACTTTTGATGTGTTTGTTCTATGTAGTACTTTTCTATGTGATGTTTTATTCGAGCGGATATTAAGGAGAATGCATACACCACAAGAGAAAGCACAGATTTTATGGTGGTTCATAGAAATGAAATCGATAGTGCAAGCACAGAGAAATTGCAGA